ACGCTGGTATGCAGCTGTAACACAACACAGCTGTAATATTCAGTCGCATTGTGCAGTTATTCTGCAACTAATTTTCATACGGTAACTAATTTTCATTCAATGCTGATGGTTTGCCACGAGTTTGGCTGTGACTCCACGATTCTTATTTTCGTAGGCAGGTTCCCCGTGTGCGCAGCATAAAAACGTCCGCATTTTTATTATGGTGGTGCAGGGGCAAATCTAGTCTGGCCTGTTTGGAACCGCGATTTGATACATATCTCGATATAATTTAAATTGGTACAGTTCAGCGGTGGGTGGGCGATTTAAAGGTGTTTCTATGGCATTTCAAACTTTCCCTCATACTTCTTTTAGTGACTCATCCAAAAGTATCGTCTAATCTAGATCAAAGACGTTTTCGTTTTGTACAAAGGATACAAAAGCAGTGGGTGTTCTGATTAGGCTGGCTGGGATTTTGGGATAACCGTACCGACATAAATAATCACACCGCATGTGCCCTAACAACCACTGCACTAGCGTTTGGAGAAACCCCCAGAAGTCACCAAAATCATTTTGATCCCTGAGCCATTGATCTGAATATTGCATGGCTGATATTCTAAAGTGTTCAATATGCCAACAATCAGATTTTGTTGTTTGAATGAGACGTATGATCTATCGCCAGAAAGCAATTTGTTTGAGGTCATGAGGTGGTTGTACTGTACTTCATTCATCGTCAAATGTCACGTGATTCAATCCCCTTCACAAAAGAAATAGGAAAAGGCTGAGGAAAGAGATTAAAACATGACCTGAAAATATTTCCTCATTTTTGAATTTATCCACCTGAACACACCAAACATGTACCATTTAGGAGATATCTCAATGCAATGATTACACACTGATCGAAATACAGAATCTCCATCCATCCGTCCATCCGTGTTTGCTGGAGCCTATCCCAGCCGTCTTCGGGCAGTAGGTGGGGCACACCTGAACTTGTTGCCAACCAATAGCAGGGCACACAGAGACGAACAACCATTCACGCTCACAGTCACGTGTAGGGACAATTTTGAGTATTCCATTAACCTGCCATGCATGTTTTTGGAATGTGGGAAGAAACCGGAGTACCCGGAGAAAACCCACGCAGGCACGGCGAGGCCATGCAAACTCCACACAGGAAGGCTGGAGCCAGAATCAAACCCTGCACCTTTACACTGTGAGGCAGATGCGCCAACCAGTAGTTCACCATGCCGCCCTCTACAGTATCACATATTTGTAAATATTTAATCATGGGACAACAATGAAGTAATGACGTTTTGCTAGCATGTAATGTGGCCAGTGTGAAGCTTGTATTAAATTGCACATTTAGTGTTCTCCGGAGTAGATGACTTAATTAAAATACACAAACATATGAATCTTTATCAGAATAAAACCGTACAAAAAGTGCCACTGTGCACCAGGGACGTGCGAGCAGGGTAGGCAAGTGAGGTAGTGCTGCCCCGCGTTCCCTTCCCCTTTAAATGAACAGTGAAAAAAAAGAAAAACATCAATTTATGGTGACATTAAACCATGTTGCATTTTAGTTATGTTGTCTGTTTTTTTAATCCAATGATTACATAATTAAAATAACTGAATGCACATATTCCATGTTCAATTACATAGGCTAGAAGGGAACAGAGTCATTACATTTTCAGTGCTTGTTTGTCTTTCTTTTTCCAATAAATGTGTTTTATCATACATGTACTCCACATGCTGATGTTAAACCGTCTGTCTGATAGTCCATGAACGTGTGTGACATTCATTCTTACACTGACAGCCAGAATAGTGACTCAAAGTGCACGCTGGAGTCAAGAAAGTACATTGCCGCTGCCACAATGTGTCACCTTCTCAGAACCTTTCTTCTGATCTACTGCCAGTCTCCGTTTGACAGGTGTGCTGGTTATTGCTGTTTGTTTTCTCTTCCTTGTTGTTAAAGGGAGTTTCTGTTGTCTGGCTTTTGGTAAGGGTCGAACAACTGTTGAGCTACAGTTCAGTCAGGTCGGTGTTTCTTCAGTAGCAACTGTGGCTTTTTGAGTGGCTTGGTTCAAAGCAGAGGTTTGGTCCGTAGTCAGAGCAGAAGTTTCGTCAGTAGCTGGAACAGAGACTTGTATCGTAAACTGGGTTGGGTGGTGTCTTAATGATCCATTACTTGTGAAGATGCAAGCTCAGTTCCTGAAATGTGGTGGGATTGGCTGGCCAATTGTTTTCCCAATAAAAATACCATTTGTAGTGATGCTTTCAAGAAAAAAATCAGCTTGTGGTCAATTGTATAATTTTATGAATGTTACAATGTACTCAGGCAACTTTGTTAGAACTGTCGCTGACTGCATTAGCACTGAGCTAGCTTGTCTTAGCGCTAACAGTTAAAAGATGACCACAATCTCAAATGAAATATAAACGGACACTATCAACATGTTGAATGAGTTCACCTACAAAGCAGGCTAGGTAATAAAAAAAATAATAATAATTTGAGCAAACCAAAAAACTTTCTTCGCTCAAAATGAAGTTTGACTTAACAATTGTGTCCTTTTCCTCATTATGAAATTATTTGACCACATGTTCCAAGATCAATCAATGTTAGAGACCTTACGTTTCTCGACCATCAATTTGAGGGTACCCCACAGATGTTCAATAGGATTTAGGGGCTCAGCGGATATGCTCGGCTAGCAGTCATCTCGTTACCTCTGCGTCCCGCGTCCTAGACGCATAATTTTCCCGCGGGACGCACAGTTCCAAATAATGTGGGTTTTCGAGACGCAAGGTATCAACATGTTGAGGTTGGGTGGTGTCTTAATGATCCAGTAATAAAAAAAAATAATAATAATTTGAGCAAACCAAAAAACTTTCTTCGCTCAAAATGAAGTTTGACTTAACAATTGTGTCCTTTTCCTCTTTATGAAATTATTTGACCACATGTTCCAAGATCAATCAATGTTAGAGACCTTACGTTTCTCGACCATCAATTTGAGGGTACCCCACAGATGTTCAATAGGATTTAGGGGCTCAGCGGATATGCTCGGCTAGCAGTCATCTCGTTACCTCTGCGTCCCGCGTCCTAGACGCATAATTTTCCCGCGGGACGCACAGTTCCAAATAATGTGGGTTTTCGAGACGCAAGGGAATTTCTCAGTCAAAACAAACAAAAAAAAAAAAAACCTACGATACATCTTTTTTTCCAGTAATGCAGTGCCGCAGTTTGACAATCGCCGCCATTGTTGTTTTGATCTTGCGTTAAGTAATCTCGCGTGACGAGATTTCCGTTCTCGCGAAACGAGATTGGCGAGATCATCCTTCAACCTCGCGGAAAGCAGACGATTGCCATGTTGTGTAACGTTAAAACAAGTGTTGCGAAAGTTTATTGTGGAGATATCACAGAGGAAGCAGCCAAAGTTGGATAGTTTTTTTGTGACGATAAGTTGACTTTGAGAAAGTCTTGCATTATTGGAAGCAGAGTAAAGAGAGGAGAATTTATGAACTCAAAGACTGAACCATGGGATGAAATAAGAACCTATTTCTCAGCAAATCTTGTACACCTGAATTAATTAAATTTTTGCAGCATTTGTTCATAAGAAATAAACCTACTATCAATGTATATTGTTGTTGTTTGTGCTATTATCATATGCAATTGAATAAGTAGACCATTTCAGAATTCGAAATTTGGGACTCTCTAAATGCATAATGGGACTCATACTTTTCTGATCAGCGAGTCCCTGGAACTCGCTGGGGTTAAACTGTAAAATTATCACTGGGCTAGTCCATCACCTTGACCCTAAGCTTCTCAAGCAAGCCAGCGGTTGACCTGGAGGTATATTTGTGATCGTTTCATCATTTCAAACTGCCATGCGGCCAACTTTCCAGAAGGAAGGGATCATACTCTGCTTGAGTACGCCATAGTTGGCCTTTAGGGTTCCCCTCACCGAACTGTAGCACCCTCCCCGATGTCGGCAGCAATCATTCAGCCCCAAACCAAGGCACTCCCACCATCATGCTTGACTGTAAGCATGGCACACTTATCTTTGTATTCCTCATATGGTTTCTACCATACATGCTTGACAGCATCTTGACCCAAAAAAATTATCTTGGTCTCATCAGACCACAAGACATGATTCCAGTGATACATGTCCTTAGTCTGCTTGTCTTCAGCAAACTGCGGGCATTGTCTTATATAGAAGGGGCTTCCTTCTGGGACGCAGCCATGCAGATACATTTGATGCACTGGATGGCCTGAACACTGACAGGATGACACCCGACCGCTTCAATCCCTGCAGCAATGCTGGTAGCCCTCATATATGCATTTTCTGAAGTCACACCCTTTCGATGACGCTGAACACAATTTCTTTGGTCGACCATGGAGAGTCCTGTGCTGAGTGGAAACTGTCCTGTCTAACCAGAACATCCAGTGACGAGTATGAAAGTGGAAGAGAGATATTTAACAGACGTTCTCCCCATTCGTTCCTGTGATTTTGTAACACTGAGAGGGAAAATTCTTGGGCCCAATTTGGACATTTTAAATTCAGGGGTGAACTCACTTTTGTTGCCGGTGCTTTAACATTATTTTGTGTGTTCACTTTTTCCCAATAAATAAGAGGACAGAATTGATCATTTTGGTGCTCATTTTAGAACCACGCCCAAATTTTAATGTGCACCCCTGTAAAAAAATCTCTCTCTCTCTCTCCACACACACACACACACACACACATATATATATAAAACAAAAATAATCCACAAAACAACCCCAAAAATAGGGTTGTTTTCCTTTAAAAAAATACCCCAAAATATTTGTTGTTTTGTGCTTTAATCATTTGACCCGACATTTTGGGTCGAATTAATATCCATCCCTTTTCAACCCAACTTGAGTTATTCATTTGAGAGAAAACATTTATGCAGTAGACATTGCAAGAAAGGCCCTTTTTTTTCTGAAGTATGACAAAGTAGAAAAGGAAGCATGACTTGCCACAGTCGACTTTGCAAGAAAAGCATTTTTTTTTTCCTAAAGTATGACAAAGTAGAAAAGGAAGCATGACTTGCCTAACTTGATAATAAAAATAGAATAATATGCAGGGATGCCCGCGAATATACTGTCACCGGGGGCCACACCACATCAGCGGCACCAATTGAAAATCCTCTTTTCTTGGAAGTGAGTTGAATTTGTTCAGGATTTAGGTATACAAGCTGATGCAGCAAAAAAAAAAAAAAAGAAGAAGACATTCCTTCTCTCCCGCTCTATTTCTCTTTCATACATTATTCGCAGGCATTTCATCTGTTGGGTCGTCCTCTGTGGTTTGTTGTTGCCCATTGTCTTTTTGCTCGCTCTCTGCTTCAGGCACTGAGACTATTTGCGTATCGTTGCCTTCTTCCATGGCGCTGAGGTTGAGCCTCAGCTCTTCTTTCTCACTCAGTATCAACTCGTCATTAAGAGCTCTCTGCTGTTCCTCTTTCTTTTTCCGCTCTTCCTCCAGCTTTTCCTGCTTTTCCTGCTTCTTCATTTTCCAGAAGAAGCAGAGATTTTTCTCGGGGTAGGTGACTTTGGCCAGTGGCAGCTTAAAGATCTTACTGGTTTCCGTGGTGATGAGCAAAAATGTCAGCGCGGAGAGACAGAAGGGCCACGTGCAGGCTGGGAGACCAAACTGCGGACAAAAATGTTGAATTGCAGTTAGTACCGGTCCAATTTGGATGAGGTTATATGGACTGTTATCCCGATTTATGGTTCGGAAAACATACCGCGGACATGATGTTGGCGATAGCAGAGCCCAGGTATGCGCAGAAAAAGCCTGCGGAGCAGAAAAGAAAAGATGAGCATCATGATGAATTAGGACATTTGTCACATCGCAGACAACAGGATTAAGATGCTAAACTCACCACAAGTAATAGCGAGAAGGTGCACTTGCCAAGTGAGAGCATAAAACATTCCGCCAATGGCAATGCATGCCAGCACGCAGTTGTATCCCCACAGGCCAAAATAAATTGCACCAAACGGAGCTGCCAAAGCCAGGCCTGCACAGTAAAAATGCCAATCACAACGGATCTCACTCGCCAACAGTCAACATCATCTATTTGGGTTGCTCACAACATTTGGCACATTGTCATCTTTGGAAATGGGGTTCTATAAAACATTACGGTGGCATCATGATAGGATTGAATTTATTTCCCAAGGCTACCTGAAAGCATGCCGATCGTAGACCCGAGGACAGCGTGTGCGCACGTGATGGGGGAGGAGATGAAGAGTGAGATGATGAAGATGCCTCCTGTCCAGGGGTTGTCACAGCCGTACACTTGGCCTATCCCCACAGGCACGGACATGAACAGCTGCGGAGAAATTGTATTTATTTTTGATTTGTAAGTTAACAAGAAGAACTCAGCCTGCTTAGATGTCAGTAGACTGGAAAAAAACAACAACAATTTATGGACCTCTTAAAATGTCATGCCAAACTAAGCCTAACCTTAGCGACGTCGATTTCCTCCCAGGTGATATTCGGCAGCTCGGTGCGGGGTTGGATGAGAACTTGGGGGAAGTGGTGGTTGTAGTGACCTGTGGCCACCATGTGGAGGCACACCAGGATGTTGAAGGGCAACGTGAACACTGGCAGATCCCAACGACTGTTAATGGATGCCAGAGCACTGGACACGATTGGGCTGGAACAAACAAATGCAAATATCACTTCAGTAAATTCATAATTTGATGTAGAAAACTATTTGGACTCTTCTCAGAGAGGAATGTACATGGATTTGGTTCCTATCGTTACAGCTATAACTGGATCCATTCGCTTGGGAAGACTTTCTATAAGATGAACTCAATTGTGTGAGTTGGAATTTTACCCCTGAGGGATCAACCTTAACGTCTTACCACATCATAGACATGAAGATGTTGGGCAGCAAGAGCCACCAGTACCAGTTCCCTGCATTGGAGAAGACGGCCATCAACAAGCCTACTAAAATACCGTTGTAGCCATACAATCCTGCAGCAATTGCACCCCTGGAAAAAAAAACAAACACAAAAAAATATTCCATTATGACAATCCAAAATTGTTGCAGATATTTTTTGAACCGATGCTCCCAATGCGAGTTTGTATCCATATGCCTTCTTTTCCTACGCCACCATTTTGATCACAAAATGAGTGAGCTCACTCACCTGCTCTGTCGCAGAATGAGGGCTGAAATGGTGGCAAAGAGCGTCCCCACAAAGCCGTTCAGTGCCCACCAGTAGTTCTGCAGGATGAGGCCGGCGAAGATAATGAGGCCGCTCAGCGGGTTGTTAACAAACATGACTTGGGCAGCCCCACGCAAGACCCAATCCAGCAACTGGAGCAAGAAAAACTGTTCTAGAAGACAAAGGAAGAAGATGACGTTATCTTATATCTGCCTCCACATTTTCGTGCTCAGAGGAACACTCTTCGTCCCGTATGAGTGTCACCGCCACGTGAGCTGGAGCCTATCCCAGCTGACTTTGGGAGGGAGACCGGTTACACCCTGGACTGGTCCACGGTCCATTGCAAGGCACATAATGACGATAACAATCATTCACAATCACATTCACACCTAAAGACAATTTAGAGCATTCAATCAACCTCATTTGCATGTTTCTGGCATGTGGGTGGAAGTTGGAGTACCAGGAGGAAGTCCGTGCAAGCGCAGAGTAAACAGGCGGGGAAATCATTGGAATCGGAATGAAAATTCAGCTAACATCAAAAGGAAGCATGAGTAAGTATGCTAAAATGCTCGCGTGAGCTCTCCAAAAAGTGTGGCTGTGGGGTAAAGAAATGAGCTGCAACAGAATTCAAAGCAAGACTTGACTTCATCACTGAAATTCACTCTCCAAATCTTGTTGGCCACTTGATCTAATACGGAGACTTCTGGCTCGAGCATTGCCATGGCAATGCTGGATCACCTACATCAGTGGTTTATAAGATTTAAGTGAACTAGTGGATGTAAAACCAATGCCGGAAGAAGTGATACATTCCAAGTGGAAACCATTGATAGCAAGATCTGGTTTGATATGCGGTGCTGGACAATTTATTATTAGTAGTAGTATAATTTTTATTATTATTGCTTGAAAGGAGGTTCTTTTAGTTTCCCTTGTTCAGATGTGAAAGTGAAAACCATGCATAACACATTCACAAACATGTTGGAAAATATATGTTAAGACAGCCAATTTGTACTGAATTTCTTCATGAAAAATATTTCTGATTGTTTCTTGAGATGGGGCATCTGAGGATTTTGTCACACGTAAACTCTACTCATCGAAATATCCATCCAACCATGACCTGAAACGCTTTATCCTCACGCGGCATGCTGGAACCTATCCCAGCTGAATTGAGGCAGTAGGCGGGGTACACCTTTGAACTGCCACTCAAGGACAAACAACCATTCACACTCACAGTCACACCTATGGATTAGTGAGAGTGTTCAATCAGCGTGCCACGCATGTTTTTGGAATGTGGGAGGAAACCGGAGTACCCGGAGAAAACCCACGGAGGCATGGGAGAGAACATGCAAACTCCACACAGGAAGGCCAGAGCCAGAATTTTTTTTTTTTTACTACTTGCTACTTTTTTCCCAATTTAAAAAAAAATTGAACTACTGAAATACTGTACCATATTTTTTTTCATTTACTTTAAACGTACAGAATCTCCATCTATTCATATTTACTACTCATCCTGTTGAGAGTTGCAAGCTGGAAATTATCCAGGCTGACTTCGGACGAAAAGCAAAGTGTACACTGAAAAAAATTGTGTGTGTGTGTGTGTGTGTGTGTGTGTGTGTGTGTGTGTGTGTGTGTGTGTGTGTGTGTGTATATATATATATGCATTTTTTAAAGCTGACTAGACATCTACTTTAAGAAATGCTTCGAAATCCAGATCATTCTATTGTGTGAAGGTATTTGACCAAATAACATTGAGCAAACTCAACACACCGTTTTTTTCAGTGTACAGTACTCTGGACCTGTCAACAGTCAATCAGAGGACATCAAGAAAATACGATGTGTCAGTTCTAAGGATAAACTTACTTTCCATCCACTTTGCAAAAACTGCCATATCTCCTGAGAAGTAGGAGACCCCCTTCAGGAGGCGAGCCTTGGCCCTCTGCAGGCACGGGGCTTCTGCCGTCTGGACAGGGGCATCCGCCTGCTTGTCATTCTCATGTTTCAGGTCAAGTTGTGCCATCAGGGGTTGCAATTCCTAAAAGAACAATTCGGAATTGAACTTTGCTCTGTTAAATTGTAAAAAAAACCCAAAAAAAACAGGGCATTAATCACTGAGGATTTGCATGCACACACAAGCACCAGTGTGGGGCTCGCACAAAGCTTTTCATAATCCCACTAGTATCCTTTTGCAAACATTCTGTATCCAAAATGCATCATTTTTCATCGTAATTTTTTTTGGCGGGGAATGACTAACAAAGTGTGGATTCAAACACTAGCATGCCTAGTGGAAACGACTCCGGTGATGCCAACATCATCCATGGATGCTTGGACCATCTACCTGCTTTGTAATTCTCTGAAAAAGTAATTTGGTGAGCACATTTAATTGCCGTAATGGAGGCCACAATTTAAATCTATACTCCAATATCATTTTTTTTTTTGCTATCACCGGCAGACGGTCAATTATCTTGTAATACAGTTTTGAAGTTACTTAAATTATGAATATATATGTTAAAAAGTAACTTTGTGTAATCCATACATTGGAGCCAACGTTCTTGAAATATTAGAAAGAAACGAATCGGTATATGTGTATTATTTTCTTGCTCTTACCTTTGTAAAAAGTGATCCCGGCATATGTTCAAATAGTCAAGAGTTTCATGGCTTGCCAACTGCCCCTCTGAAAAAAATCTGCCAAGGGTTTTTAAAGCCTTGCACAAAAAAAAAAAGGAAACCAAAACAAAGAAAGAAAACAACTCCTACTTTTCTTCCTCCACCCCTTTCCTCTCTCACCCACCACTTCACTCATTCGCTCATCACTTGCAGCCCAATCTTTGATCATCTCTGCTCCACCCAAGTCTCCTCAACGAGATATGCGCAAGTATGCGCAGCAGCACTTTTGCCTGTTTACATTCTGTTTTATTTTTGTGCTGTACATGATCTACTGTGACTTGTCAGAGTAAGATGCATCGACTGTGGCTATCTTCCTATTGGTCTGTCCAAATTAGGAATCGTTACATCAATCACCCAGCAAGCATTCATTCATCTTCATCATTTTGGACGTGTGTCGGTGGGAAGATGTGCCATTTTGTGGGGTCACTGATGTGATTTTTTTTTTTTTTTTTGTGGTTCATTGTCTTTATCAGCAAAACAAACAGAATAAAAAGAAAGCTATGTATCGCCAGAGTGAGATTCTGTCAGGTTCTGCTCCGTCTTTGTTGGAGTGGAGGGTGTGCCTCTTCAGCAGTGCACTTGCTTCTTGTTCCCCATTAAGCCTTGCCTAGTATTTAAAGACTGTCAAGTTTCCAAGTCCCTTTAGTATTATAGAATTTGCTTGCTGTTATGCTCAAGAGATATTTTCCTCAACTTAACGCTCATAGTCGCTCCGTGTCTGATAGTTCCTTGTTTTTATAAGTATTTTGGCTTTCCAATTATTTTGTGACTGATTTAAGTTTCATGTGTTTGGGCCTTTGCCGTTTTGTTTTTGTGTATTTTCGGGTGTCAAATTTACCTTGCCGGTGGCGAGCGCTTTATGTTCATATTTGATTTTTCTGGCTCTTTGTCGCCAGTGATTTCTGTTTATACTCTGTGGGACTTTGTTTTGCTATAAATAAATATTTTTGTTTCGGAGTTGGAGTCTGCGTTTCTGGGATTCGCACACCATCTGGTTCGTTTCCGAACCTTGTCGGATCCATTCTAGTTCAGAAGCAAAAAATGTATACTGGGGATCATCAACCTTTGTGGAATGGAGAGCTACTTCTTGGCTACTGCTTGCTGAGTGCCAAGGGATAACAGTTTGATACACATGTCAGAAATATCAACATCTGCTAGAACTATCCACCCATCCATCCATTTTCTGATCTGCTTTATCCTCACAAGGGTCGCGGGGCGTGCCTGAGCCTATCCCAGCTGTCTTCAGGCAGTAGGTGCGGTACATTCTGAATTGGTTGCCAGCCAATCTCAGGGCACACATAGACGAACAACCATCCACACTCACACCTAGGGACCATAAAGAGTATTCAATTAACCTGCCACGCATGTTTTTGGAATGTGGGAGGAAACCGGATTACCCGGAGAAAATCCGCGCTGGCATGGGGAGATCACGCAAACTTCACACAGGAAGGCCAGGGACCGGAATTGAGCCCATGACCTCTGCACTGTGAGGCCGACGCGCTAACCAGTCGACCACCGGGCCGCCCATTTGCTCAAACTATCTTTCATACATTTTATTTATAATTAGATTGATGTCAAGATACTGATCATGTTCATGGGTTTCTCGCAATTATAAGTAAACAAATATCAACAGGTTTTTTTTCTCCTTCTTAGAAAATCATGTCCCATAACCCCTGAGGTCTATGTACATCAAGCTTTGTGAAGAAAAAAATTCAAATCAGGTATTGTTACTGTAAGCAACGGGCTACCTACATGATGCACCAAGCAAGTAGCACCTGAGGACCAGATGAGCTAAAATAGCTCACCAGTAGGGGAATGCTTAGATTTCCTAAGAATGACGAGATTTGTAAAAAAAAAAAATTGTTGAAAGATATTTACCGCTTTATTACCTCATCTCTTTTCTATCAATGGGAGAAATAATTAACATGATCAAAGCCTTCACAGTGACGACTGTCTTTGATTATTAATAACATAATGAAGGTAATTTGGGCAAAGTTGGTATTTCAGAAGTGAGTATCAAACTGGTAGTTGATGACCTCTGCTGTACACATCGTCAGACAGCATTCATCAACAGAATGCAATTTACCGTATAAGCGAGTACGGTGCTCCAGCAACAGTCCTTTGCCCCGAATGAGAAAAGTACACTTTCAGCTAGTGCGCATTTTCTTTATTTTATTCACCAATATTTTCCAAAATTCAAAAGCAATTACCCTCTCTGCCATCATTTCGCCCCAAAACAGTTTTGATATCTGACCTGCATTTGTATGAGTTCTCGAGAGAATTGAGCCCCTCGCTAATTAGTGGCGCACACAAGGCCTCCCACCTTGTCCCTTCCTTCGTACGCTTAGCTCAGGTGCAGAAAGCGTTGGAGAGACACAGAAGCATTCACGCAGTCTCGGATGTTAATTGGTGCCAAATGAAATACTTTGAGTTTTTGTGGCTAACTGTTACACACATCCAAAGAATTTGGGCAACACCAAGGTTTCCTCCCATCCATCCATCCATCCATTCTCTGATCCTCACACAGGTTACAGGGCGTACTGTAGCCTATCCCAGCTGTCTTCGGGCAGTTGACGGTATACACCCTGAACTGGTTCCCAGCCAATCGCAGGGCACACAGATAAACAACCATCTGCACTCACACGCACACCAAGGGACAATTTTGAGTGTTCCATTAACCTGCCACGCATGTTTTTGGAATGTAAGAGGAAACCGGAATACCCGGAGAAAACCCACGCAGCCACGAGGAGAACACGCAAACTCCACACAGGAAAGCCAGAGCCAGAATCAAATCCTGCACCTCTGCACTGTGAGGCCGACACACTAACCAGGCCAAGGTTTCCTCTCACACACCAAAAACATGCATTTTTGGCTAAGTCAGTGTTTCCCAACCTTTATTGGGATAAGGCACATATTTCAAGTGAAAAAAAATCTCACGGCACAACCACAAAACAATGCAAAAAAAGTGCATAAACAAGTTAATTACAGACCTTCTGTCTTCTTGTCAGGTCCATCAATTTGACATCTAGACATAAAACACAAGGAGGAGACGGGAGACTCAATTCTGGTACCAGGAGGGAACGAGGAGAAGCGTTAGGTTTCAGTTCTCTGCACTTCACCCTGACGATCTCGCCATACATAGCAATGTCCAACCTAAAGGGTGCGGGCTGTTGAAGACACACTGAACTTGTTTGACTATGTGTGTGTATGTGAGTGTAAATTACGTACATGTGTGCAATTGTTACAAAAACATCACATTGCAGCTGGTGTCGATGGCTCCATCCACTGTCCAACCTTGCTCCTGTTTAGTCTTAATACTTATCTCTTCCCAACCACGTCCTCGAAAAGGTGGTTGCGTCCCTAAACTGCCACACAGTTCACTCAGCATTCTTGATTATAAATGTGAGTATTTAATGATTAAAAGCATCATATCTTTATTAAAAGCATAAGCGTTCTTCATTGCAGCCATAATCAATTAATGATTGCAGGCATAAGCGTTCTTCATTGCAAGCATAATCAATTCATTGATAAGAATAATATGCAAATGTATGATAACTAAAAACAATCAACCTATCACTTCTAGTCAAAGAACATTTGATTAATTTGCCTGTTACTATCTGGGTTTGGCATAGAAAATTATCCAAGACCTTTTTTTTTTTTTTTAATTAGAAAATATTTTTGGTCAAAATAATTGACATTGGATAACATCCTGCGGCACACGTGATGTTCTCTCACGGCACGCTAATGTGCCACGGCACACTGGTTGAGAATCGCTGAGCTAAGTGACTCATACTCTGAATTGTTCCTGGGTGTGAATGGGAGTACAAATTCTTGTTTGTCTCTACACTGTATGTACCCAGCAGTTAGCTGCCGTTGGCTGTCACATGCGATAAAACAATCGTTGACGGGAAGCGTCATGCATTGAAAAGTTGTCCATGACGCACTGTCAGGCGCTGAAATGTAGATGGCGACAGGGTGAAGTCCCGTGACCAAAAATAATCGTCAAAGGAGGGGAAGGGGCCAGATGCCATAAATACATCTAAAGCTGAGCCATGATTGGTTGTCAGCTGAGCCCTGGGCAAGTGTGATGTCATTTTCAGTCGACAGCAAGTGGCAAAATGGCCGCCCCCAGAAGTAGACAAAAACAGCTGTGTTTTACTGCTTAACTCATACTCCACAAATTAAATATTCATCGGAATGCCATGTTTACACGAATGGGGCTGCATAGAAAATAGTATTCTCAAGAAAATGTGTGGGTTCACTTCCCCTTTAAACAGATGTGGTGCTTTTAATGTTGTGACATGACAAAGATGATATTGTGGCAGTTTTAATTTCGTGATATTGCAATAATACCGTTATTACATATTATTACATCCCTACACCAAACTGGGTGTGGTACGGTATGTTATGGCGTATCCTACCGTGTTTTTTTTTCTTTTCTTTTTCAGAATAATATAGAGCCTCGAAGGTGACACGGAAGAAAAAAAAAATTGCATTCCCTCGCAAAGTTATGAGTTCCCTCGCAAAGATAGCGAATCACACAAATTTTTTTTTTTTTTTTTGCAACAGGACGCTTTTTAAATGCGCTTTTATGTACTTCCGGGTCACCTTGGCTAATGTAGACTCTCATGCGCGGCTAATTGAGAGACGACACTAATTCGGGGAAGGAGAGAATCATGGAGAAGGAGAGAAGAATCAAAGCTCTAGAACGGATTTAATGTATTTGTATTTCAAGCCAATCTTAAAGTAAAATTCTCGCCAACGGGTGAAACGCTTCATGTTTGTTGTTTTCAGTTACCCGGAAGTTGACCTGGAAGTACAAAGCGCATTAAAAAAAAAAAAAAAAAAGAACCCTTGCAAAAAAAAAAAAAATAATAATAATAATAATAATAAGTTTGCGTTATCTCGCAATCTTTGCTCGGGAAAGCAAAACTTTGCAAGGGAATGCAACCTTAGGTGCTCCTTAGAATAACTCAGACACTGGGTGTCCTTTTTGGGGGTTTGAGCGTAAGCCCCCAAGAAATTCTTTGCAAGTGCCTGATTAT